CCCCAGATTTGTCGGGTACGGTGGTCGGGCAGGAGGTTTTCCTGCGATATGCCGAACTACCCTTCCGCGAGTTACCCTGTGTTGGGTTATCTCGCAAGCGGCGAACTGCCTGTGACAAGCTAAACCGAGTTATCTGGCCCGAGATGTCTTTACCTCAGGGTATCTATAGGCGGATCGGTGTGTTCCTGTCTGGTAGAAGCTTCCTAAGGAGTGCCCATGCGGCCCATTCCCGAGCTACTCTGTAGCGAGCTTGGAATACTTCAGGATTACCTTTAACAGAATTGGTCCTTGGGATGACTTGTCTGCTTGGGAGCTTGGGCGAGCTAGTTCCCCTAGTTCGCGAGCTAAAAGTTGCCTCGGAGTATCCCTTCAAAGGTAGCTCGGTGAACCCGGAGCTCGCGTTGTGGCGAGCTTCTCCTTTTGTGAGCTACGATGTAACGAATTGCTTTATGGCTCGTCACTTGGTCGCACTAGGCTACAATGTTGAGTTGTTGCTCGTGCTGAGTCAGTGTCTACGTGTCACCATTTTATAGGTCGGGTCAAATCATCCTCCATTAGATTCCGTTTACAAGTCGTTTTTTAAAACGTTGGTCTCAACAGCCTATGCTGTTGGACCCCAACAGCCAAAGTTAACCCGTTTTGTACTATCTATCAAACTGCCACGTGGTAAGTTACATCCTCTCTTATGACGGCAATGAAATTTTGTTTTATGCTACCTACCACACGGCCACAGTGGGCTACCCATCCCCTCTCCCTGGTTATGTAGCCCCGTGAAGCCAGAAAAAATAAAAAAGGTAAGTAGAACGAAGTGACGATGTTATGAATAATTTACAAATCAGATGACTGATTCTGATTGTAACCCGTTTAATGGAAAGGTGGGTCCAAATGCAGATTGTGGACGCCACACATGGGATGAGATGCATGGTAATTTGGGTGGAAGGGTTGATGATATTGGTACCAGTCAGTGTAATCTCGATTAAACCTGTTTATGGGCCGGATAGTACGATGGCCCTGATGTAAGTCGGGCTTAGACAGAATTTTAGGTCTACGGGTTTAAGGTTTTTTAAAAATACTTGAACCGAATTCAAATCCAACTTCTTAATGTATTATATAATAAAAATATATTTTATATAATAAAAAATATATATATAATACATTTTTTCTTTATTTTTCTTCTTTTCATTATTTTTTAGGTTTTGATATTTTTAATATAAATAAATTAGTTTTTAATTGAATTAAAAAAAAAAAAAATATTTTTTTCCAAATTTCTAATCAGACTCAAACTCAAGCACGAGTTTCGAGCTTTATATAAGAGCCGGGCTTGGGCTAAGCCTAGGCCTGATGGTCGGGCTGAGCTCAGGCTCGATTGACTGATTGAGTTGAGGGATACACTTCACTGATCCAGCCCGGGCCCGGCCCATGAACAAGTTTAATCCCGATTGACTGATTGAGTTGAGGCAGTGAAGTGTGAGGAGGAGCAGTCGCAGTCTGGGCCTGGTAAACTGAATCAGGCTTTTAGAAGACATCCATCGTTTTGGAGTTACAGTAACCATATGATTGATCATCCATCGTATTATTTTTCTTTTCTACAATCAACGGTGGAAATGTATGTATGTCCATATATTTCTTTTGAATTTGTTTAAGGAATACCAACCGATAGAGGCCCTAACAATAGAGCAAGGGATAGCCGGACAGGAGGATATGGGCTCAAAAATGGAGAGCAAAACGCGTTTGACCTTGTAAATACCTGTTGACTCAACCACCTCCCCCACCGCCACCAGTCCACCACCACCTTCTCCTCCCCCCTTTGTCTTCGGACATCAAACCCGCAAAAATAAAACTCAAACTGGCTTGGGCTGCATTTGGCATTCCTTACTTATCTCCTTATTTGAAGGACTCATCTCATTTTACTGCGAACTGAAAAGGAGATAAGCCTTTAAAATATCAAACTGGCTTAGGATGCATTTGGCATTCCTTATTTTGAGGACTTATTTCATTTTAACTGCAAAAAAAAAAAAAAAGTAGGTAAAAGTCCTTAAAATAAGGAAATGCCAAATGTAGCATTAGAAGCTCAGCTTTAATCGGTTCATTCTAAAATTTTCCTTCTTTCTCCTCTAATTTGATCAACCGGTAAATTCGTATATTTATTGGGTTTGGTTTTAGCACTCTATGTAGGCTTTGTTCGGAGATATCATCTCGATATCGGTCTTGATCTCTTTGCGATAGACGCTTTGCCTGGGGCCATGGCGGACATCGTGAAGCAGATCCTGACAAGGCCGATCCAATTGGCTGACCAGGTGACCAAGACCGCCGACGATGCCCAATCCTTCAAACAGGAGTGTGCCGAGCTTAAATCCAAAACGGAGAAGCTCGCCACACTCCTCCGTCAGGCTGCCCGTGCTAGTTCCGACCTCTACGAGCGCCCCACCCGGCGCATAATCGACGATACCGAGCAAGTCCTCGACAAGGCCCTCGTCCTCGTCACAAAATGTCGTGCCAACGGCATTATGAAGCGGCTTTTTACCATCATACCCGCCACTGCGTTTAAGAAAATGTCTTCTCAGCTCGAGAATTCCATTGGCGATGTCTCTTGGCTGCTTCGTGTATCTGCCTCCGCAGATGACCGTGACGATGAGTACTTGGGCCTTCCTCCTATTGCCGCTAACGAGCCTATCCTCTGCCTTATCTGGGAACAGATTGCTACCCTCTATACGGGATCTGTTGAAGAGAGATCCGACGCGGCTGCCTCGCTTGTATCTCTCGCCCGCGACAATGATCGATATGGTAAGCTCATTATCGAGGAAGGTGGGGTGGGACCTCTTCTGAAATTGCTTAAAGAAGGCAAATTTGAAGGCCAGGAGAACGCCGCCCGGGCCATTGGTCTTCTCGGTCGTGATCCTGAGAGCGTAGAACACATGATTCACGCGGGCATCTGCTCAGTGTTTGCGAAAATCCTTAAAGAAGGTCCCATGAAGGTTCAGGCCATGGTTGCTTGGGCAGTGTCTGAGCTTGCCGCTCATCACGCCAAGTGTCAGGATCATTTTGCCCAGACCAATATAATTCGACTACTCGTTAGTCATCTCGCATTTGAGACCGTTCAGGAACATAGTAAGTATGCAATTGCGAGCAAGCAATCCATGTCGATTCATTCAGTCGTAATAGCGAGTAATAATCCCAACCAGAGCCCCAACAACAACAACAACAATGCCAACGAAGACGATAGTCAAATTCCTCATCCAATGGGGAACAAAATCCCAAGCCAGATGCATAATGTTGTTACTAACACCATGTCTTCTGGGAAATCCCCATCGAGGCCACCTCTAGCGCCAAATAACCATGGAAATCATTCGACTCATGGCAGCACCAAGCATCATCACCATTACCACCAACAACAACACCACCACCACATGCCACCATCAGGGCCTAGCATTAAAGGGAGGGAATTCGAAGACCCTGCCACCAAGGCCCATATGAAAGAAATGGCTGCTAGAGCCCTTTGGCATCTTGCCAAAGGCAATTCAACCATATGCCGAAGTATCACAGAGTCGAGAGCACTCCTATGCTTTGCAGTTCTCCTTGAGAAGGGCCCTGAAGAGGTGCAATTCAATTCCGCTATGGCATTGATGGAGATTACTGCAGTTGCCGAGCAAGACACTGAGTTGAGACGGTCTGCATTCAAGCCCAATTCCCCTGCCGCTAAGGCTGTTGTCGACCAATTACTGAGGATCGTCGAGAAGGCAGACTCCGACCTTCTCGTCCCTAGCATTAAGGCCTTGGGACACTTGGCAAGGACGTTCAGAGCAACAGAGAAGAGAATTATTGCACCATTGGTGCGTTTGCTGGATGAGAGAGAAGGGGAGGTTTCAAGGGAGGCTGCAATTTCCCTCATCAAGTTCGCAGGCACCGACAATTACCTCCATCTTGACCATTCCAAGGCCATAATCACTGCTGGAGGAGTAAAGCATCTAATCCAACTTGTCTACTTCGGAGAGCAGATAGTTCAAATTCCGGCATTGATCCTGTTGTGCTACATAGCATTGCATGTCCCCGATAGCGAGGAGCTTGCAAATGCAGAGGTTCTCACGGTGCTTGAATGGTCATTAAAGCAGGGGTCTATGATGCAAGATGTCACCGTTGAGTCATTGTTGCCAGAAGCCAAAGGTCGGTTAGAGCTCTACCAATCCAGAGGTTCAAGGGGATTTCATTGATTCAATGTGCACAAATATTCTTAACGCAAAATCGGTTTGTATCTTTTTCTTCTTATCATGGAGTGTATATATCGTTCTTTTTTCTGTTAGTGTTAAGAAGAATGTCGATAAACCCATGGAAATCCATTTCATACTTGTATGTTGTGTATTGGCATTCCATGATTGACGACCGACTGTGACAGATAGAAGTCTCGGATCCGTTACTCCTACCCAGAAGACACTGCAGCTGCACATTCGGATTTGGAGAAATTTACCGTACTTATATGCAAGGTTTTTAAAATCGGTCAGGACAGAGAACCACTCTGGGGGCAGGTTCGAATGGTCCGACCGTCGGGTCCGAATGGACGGCCCATTCTGACAAAAATTTAAAAAAGCAAAAAACAGCTAAAAACCAATGCCAGGGTCGAGGGTTCGATGGTTCGCCCACCTGAGTCAGTGGTTCACTGATCAAGTCAACGGTTCTTGGCCAAAAAGTGGTTTTGGGGTGAATGACTGGTTTCTAGTTTTTCCGAAAATTTAAATTGACCCGGGAAAGGTATGAACTTGAAGCAGTGTAAAATGCTGACTCAAGCCAACCGGAATTGTACCCCTAATGCGTAGCAGTTCTTCTAGATCCCAAATCTAGGGATACAAACGGATCAGATTAAATTTGAATTATACCCCTAATATTCTAATATAATTAAACTACCTGAACCATTCGACCCAAATGATCGAAATCGTTGACCTAGGAACTGGTGGCTATAGCGGTTTCATTTCCGGTTGATTTTTGAAACCTTGAATATAATAGATGTATACTATGGTTTGTCATATTATATATGCTCTAGAATACAGGCTATTGTACAGGCATCTCGGTATTGATTCAGGCCACTTGTATTTCATCCAACCCAATATTGGAGGCTAATTGGACGCCTTGATGGTTAATTATAAGACCTGAAATCACTTATGCCATTTAAATCTTCAGCCAATTCATAGATAGGGATGGTAATTTTTCTCATTTCCTTGATTACCGTTGAAACCCTCCTTATGGGGCAAGGATGGAGATGATTCTTTTCCCCCCACAGGGACAGGAAAGGGATAGGGATCCCCGCTTATATATATGGTTGAATATGTGAATATATTTGGATCTTTTTTAATATGATTATACATTTCAACTATTTTGTTTTTTTTTAATTTTAAATGAAATAAAAAAAAAAAAACAAAAACAAAATAATTGATATCATAAAAAATCACGAGTGGGGATGGGGACGGAGATAGGGTTTTTTGCGGAAATGGGAATAAGGAGTGGTTTCTCGTCCCCACCCTGCCCCATTGCCATTTCTATTCATGGGTGACCCTTGTCAACAACACCTACATGTTGCTATACATGTTTACTTTTTGTAGATTGTGATTTCAAATAAAGGGCCTCGGTTGGATGCCTATCCACCCCCGAAAGTCCACATACTGAAGTCGTGCAATAGCAGTGATGACCAATGAATTAATTTGGATGAAGCATCATCTCTTATTTGATCTCGACCTCTCTCGTTCTCAGCCTATGACTTTTTTTTTTATAGTACAGAGAAATGACCCCAAGCGTCAAAGAAACAAATAAACAATAATTTCATATTCGAGAGACTCGAGCTTGATACTGAAATAGGATGTACCAAGTTGGCAAGGCAATCTGCTGCATAATTTCCCTCCCTTATGACATGTTCATAGAAAACGCAGAGATTGTGGGTAGTACATAATTTTTGGCACTCTTCAATAAAGTTGTTGATGTTGCATGGGGGCTTCATTTGACCACATAGGCAATTGATGATGATACTTGAATCTCCTTCGATGAAGCATTTGAATTAAGCAAACTTGGTAGCTACAACGTGGGCATCGAGAACAGCCCAGGCTGAAGGTTATGACCTAGATAGATGTTTCCATTTTATAATCTGGTCCTGGGGGGGGGGGAGAATATTCATTTCCATTAGGAGTAACTATTTTTTGGAATAATTTAGCATTTCTATTTTCAGATATTCCATAAGGTCATACATCCTACAATCGAGTTGCATACATTTATTGTCTCGGCTTTATTTACTTTGTCCCACCAATCTTTAATGGTTTCCCCAATACTATGATTTATATCATTGATATTTAGGCCTTCCCATACTTGTTTAACCTCAAAATAGTGCAGCAACCTGTGATTTGTACTCTCATCCTCTTCACAATGTAGGCAACTTGAGTCATCCCCCACACCCATCCTTTTAGCCTCATTTTGGTTAGAATTCTGTCACTCAAAACTAGATACATGAAGAAATGAATTTTTGGAGGGCACCTAATATCCCACACTTTTTTTAGATTTTTATCTAGCACTACAAGAAAAACGGTCAAAGCCAGCGGTCAGATGACCGCCGCTTTTGACACATAGACCACCGCTGCTGGCGGTCATGAGTTCACCCCCTCAGCCACTGCTGGCTTAGGTCAAGACCGCCTGCTTAGACAGAAAAGATCGCCGCCTTAGATCCGTCAATATGTTTATTCCATTTTTTAGGTGGCAGTTAGAACCACCGCCTTAGAGTTCTTTTATGTCTAAGGCAACGGATGCATGACCGCCGGCTTTGATTTTTTTATTTTTTTATTAATATCAATTTGATTTCAACATTTGTTGCACCTATTTAATACAAATCTCATGATAGATAATGCACAAAAATCAAAATAAATAAATAAAATATTTAATTAAAGTAATAATTATTATAATATCCAAAAACAAAATGCTTAAATACAATATACAATTAACATAAAATAGTACAAAAAACAATATAAATGCAATTTAAAAGATGTATTTCCATTCGAATCATAAATTAATACATGTTACGTTTCGAACGAATACAAATTAATACATGAAAGACATCATAGCATTATGATTGTGTGGGCTCAGGAACAATAGTCAATGAAACACAAGCAACCAGAATGGCAGACGTCCGTGATAAAGCCTCTTGCATGCTTCCCAATTTCATGCATGCCTAGATTTATGGAATTGAACCACTCCTTAAAGCATCAAGAACTCTTCCATGTTGCTGCATCCACATATGATATGATGATTAGACTGAGGAATGAAACTCTCTTTATGAGGCTCAGGTCATGGCCATCATTCTGCAGGCACATATGATATGATGATTAGACTTTGAAGCAGAGAGAGAGAGAGAGATGCCAAAAGAACAATTTGGGTATTTTTTTACAGTTATCTATATCAGATCCAAGCCCACAAGAATTGGGCCCTAAAATGGTGATCACCAATATTGATGGAACTTGGTTCTTGAACATATGCCCAACAAATCCAATCTGGACTTGCTCTATTGAGATGGTTAACCTTCCTTATGTTCTGAGTAAAAAGACATGTTCCTGCTATGGACTTTGATGTGGAAATACATGGGTAGTGATTAAATTATACGTAGTGTTTTACAAGTTTTTGATACCAAAAGCAGAAAGGGATATACATATTAATTCCTTCCACACACTTTATTTGTAGTGAACTAGTGATACCAAAAGCCTCTTCCATCTAGCTAAACTAAGATCTTCTTTGAGCATTTCCCAAACAAGAAAAAAATTAATCTTTTAATCTCTAGTATCACCATACTAGTGGAAAGCTATAAATGATAGGGTGCAGGGATTATGTGAACTGGTAAAATGCATTCCAGTGCCAAGTGTTATGTGAACTGGTAAAGCAGATCATGCATAATGCATTGTATTCACTTGGCAATCTGTATTTACATGCTCTAAGGCTGCATTTGGCATTCCTGCATAAGGCCCGTTATAATTGAGGAGCCAGTTGGAAATCTGGATTTAGTTGTCGCACTCTCCATTATACTCCAACCTTTTCAGCCGTACATTGAGAAAATCCTTCCATTGATAAAAATATACAAGTACAGAGATGTTTTCTAATGCACGACTRTGAAGTGTTGTGAAAACAGTGTAAATATAAATATCTATAGTACAAATATTATAAATACAAATATAAACTTGTATTTGAAAAGAGTACAAATACAAATATGTACAGTTCAAAGGTTGCATTTTGTATTTTTAAACCTACATTTTGCACCATACATATTTGCATTTGTACCCTGTCCAAACTAAGCCTAAGAGATGCACATGCAATGGGCGGTCCTAATCTTTGATCATATATCACACGGATTCCTAAACATGCAAAATATGGGACCTGTAAGCCAAAATTATATATTCTAGAGTGATATATAATCTATAATCTCTATATATAAAAGAGGGAGTTGCACTCTTCTTTTTTGTCCTATGAAAAGAAGAAAAGAGAGGGTAGACCTGTTGCTGCAACGGATGCCTTAGAGGAAGTCCTATGGTGTATGTTGTTTGAAGATGGCATAGCTTTGGTTAATAAGACAAAAAATTGATTAGATTCAGTTCAGGATATATGCTTTAAAGTGTAAGGTTTAGAATAGAATTAAGTTAGGTAAACAGAAAATCTGGAAAGTAATTCTAATAGTGTTATCAATGTGGTTCATGATGACTACTCATTTTGGCCTCACTAATTAAGTTCTTGAGTAAGCCTACTTAAACTAAAATATCATTCAGGTTGAAAGGATCAATAATTTTACAGGATGTTTCTATAACTCAAGAATCTAGTGATGGTTATAGTATCCTGATCTAAAACTAAAGCCAGTTTAAATTTTCCTTTTCCTCCAAATGTTACTGTGTTTATTGAACCATAATCAAATAACATGTTTAATTTGATGCATCTTTTCCTTCAAAAATTGTATCCTCGACAAATTAAAGTACTTATGAAGTCATACATTTGACATTTGTTGATATAGATATAATTGTGATTCTCTCAAGTAGAAATGCAGAATAATATAATGGCAATGCATTCTTGAAGAGACCTTCAGGATGGAAGAGGGACAGCCTATGCAGTAATACTTACCACTGTTCCTTTAACTTGGGTGGAAACATGTCCCTTAGAAATGTCTGATATCAGCTTGGATAGTCCAAAATCTACAACCTTTGCAACTAAATTTTCATCCAATAGAATATTACTCGACTTAACATCTCTATGAATTATGGGGGGATTAGCATGTTCATGAAGATACGATAATCTT